CAATGCGAACACGTCTACAATGCGAAAGCTCAATAAAATGCAACGAAATATGTGAACAGCATGGCGTGTTGACTTCAACTCCACTCCGAGAGGGATTGGTTGGATTTGAAATCCAGTGATGAATAGAATTTATGGCTTATGTTGCACAGAAAAACGTCAAGAAAAAAGAAACCGAGTGACGTGATGTGAAAAGCGTCTGGCGCGTGGAAAAGTTGCTACAGAAAAGTGCAAGATGCTCGATTAGATCTAGACGCGAAACCGGGAACTTGTTTCACGTGAAAACACTTTGCGTGTGTGTGGAATAATTCAACGCGTTCTTTATCTCCTTTATTCAACTTGCGTGTTTTTCTGCATTCTGTTGATTTCCGGTTTTATTTCTGAGAAATTCACTTCGACGTTTTGTTTTTTCAAATCCTTTCAAGGCTTTCTTTTGTTTTTGCATGCGCAGGATACAAACTGAAATCATCAACGAAATTGCATTCGTATTCGCTATGCTCTTCACCGTGGATGCAATTTCGAGCATGGTCGCTCAAGAGTTACTAAAGAGTTTTTGCTTGTTTTCGCCACGCCGTCTTCCTTCTTCATTGTTCATTCCTCGTCCCAGCAACGGACTGGCTTTCGAATGGAGAAAGTCCAGGGGCAATATCTAAGTGACCCTTTTATATGGCCAATGGGCAATGAATAAGTAAAAGTCCGAACGTTGAGGGCGGTTTTTTTTATTATTATTATGCCCGAAAGCGCAACTTTCTCGTGGCAAACAAGTATAACAGCGGAGAGAAAATGAGAGAGCCTGGTCGAAGGCCAAGGAACTAAGGAACTACTAGTTGAGTGCCGACATGGGTTTGCTTTCGACCTCCGGGGCGATTTCTCATTGGCTTGTGATCGCCTACAAGCAGCACATAATTGATTTCATAAAACTTTATCAACAAAAAATTGCTTTTATCTAAAAAACTGTTCAAAAACAAAATTTTCTTATTTAAAACTTTTGAATGTTTTATTTTTGCGTGGCAAAGGGGACTTTTAAGCTTCTTATAATATGATCGTCCCTAAATATAAGCAGGGGTTTGATTCAAAATTATTACCACCATTCCACGTTTTGAATGGCATAATTTTTATACACTTTATGCGTCTTCTTTGCATGGCAGTGAAGAAAAAAAAGTTTAATTGTTCTTTCTTTTGACGACTTTCGTCGGCATCCCCGTGCTCCGCCTCACCATGGCCGTCTGCTGGTAATATCTGCCTGGGAAATTGAACAAACGCAATGAGACGAGATGAGAAAATGAAAGAATGGAAAGATGAGTGAAGACGAAGGCCTGCGTGTTATTGCGATGTGCGTCTGTATACATGCACGCGGGTTAACTTGGGGCGTGTAATCAGAGTTTATGGAGACATCTTGGGGAGAGATAAAGCGCAACTGGACCCCGACAACCCCGACGAAGACGATTTCATTTTGGGCCCGGTTGTGTGTTCGCTCGCCAAAACGGCAAATAGTCTGCTGCGTAATTCTGTGTCCAAGCTGGTGCAGGGCGACAAAAGGTCCGCGCGCGTTAGTTTGGGAGGACAAAAGGGACGCCGCCGCAAAAGCCACAAATATCAATTATACTAAGACATTGGACATGATAAGACTGCAGAGATGTGCGTTGTGTTTTGTAGGGGCATAGTTTGTTGTATATTAGAGTTTGCACGGACAACAATATAGTCCCTTTGCCATCATGTCTTAATTCCCTTGGCGGTAGACTCCCTGCTACGTCATAACTTTTAACCCCTTGGACATGAGCTGTAGAGCAAATTGGGAAACATCAGAGAGAAAAAAATTAACTTGTTTACTGATTATCTGCTTGAATAACAAAAAAGTTTGATTATTGTGTTTGGTTGACTGATTTCTATCGTGATTCAGAAATTGCAAAAGTTTTACCAGCCGAAAACCAAAATTTCCAAATATTGATCAACTCTTACCCTTACCCTTTTGTTTGTTTCTGAACATATCTATATTGGTCGATTGGCAAACACAGACAGAGATGGAACGCGGCGTAATAAAAAAGAATCAATTTGGTGAATTGGAAATATTTCCATATACGCAGGAGAACTGGGAGCAATCTCGGAAAAATCGCATACGCACACAACATTTACATGCGCACTATACTATATTCCACCATCGCGGGGGTGGAATATCCGCAAAGGGAAAACAAAACGACCACGCGCCAACCCGGGAGTTGTTATCATAAAAAAATATGATTTACTATAGGCGCATAGGCCTTATAAACATGTACACAAAGACAAATCTCAAATAAAAGCGCTCGCAGTTATTTTAGTTCCGTTTACAGTTGTTTTTTTCCGGTTTAGAAACCGAATTACACGTAAATGCAATTTTCTAGCCCACGTGCTTGCATTGTCACACGCATTAAGCAAAAAAAGTGTAAAAAAATGCAAAAAGCGCACAAATGACCACTTCTTACGGTATTTCACGCCGCGGCCGCACTCATACACACCGCACAGCAAACAATAAATCATTTTTATGGCGACATACATTTTTATATTAAATGCGGCACACACAGCATCTCATCGCATTCGTAAACGGCGACATTAAATCTAGAGCCCGCGATGGTTATGGAAATGCGGCGTGGTGTGTGCATATGGTATGCTAAAACGTATATTAACTTAATTATTATCGTAACGACGTGTTTATGCAATAATTAAACGGCTCTTAGTTTAATTGAAGTGAAGCGCCCACAAAAAACACAGTAGTAAAGCTAATAACAAAGAAAATTCACTGCAAAATTTATTTCAATGCCAAAAGCGACTTTTTTTTTGTTTCACAATTCACATGATGCTTTTTTTGGTGAGTGTCTATGAATGTTGATGAAATTGATATTTTCTTTCGTATAGAAATCTGTCCGCCGGCTTGTGTGCTTGATGATGATGGCCCTAAGGCGTTTCGAGGCGTCTTTCCTCGCGTGATATCTTTATTATAACCATTTTGAATAAATTTTCTTCCTCGTTATTGTTATGTCTTTATTTTTCGTTGTGTTTCGTGCGCCATTCGGTTCTGGGCTATTGTTCTTTTTTATTTCTTCTAGGCGCGCTTTATATTTGCGCCTTTTGTGAAAGGAAGCTTTTGTCGTGCGTATAGAGACAATGTCGGACGTCATTTGCATTATTTTAACATTTCTCCAAACGCGCGCCCCAATTAAACACAGTGGTGGAGTTTTATAACCATTTTCACCCCTTCGGGGGCTGGTACGCAGAAAATAAAACAAAAAAATGTTAAATTTTTGTCTTTTTTTGTTTGTTTCAGGCTTGATTTTCAATTAAGCACCGTTTTCTATTAATGCTTCAAGCTGTTCACCGACGTGGAGCGAGTATTTCATCCTTTCGAGTTGTCTAGCAGGTGCGTACCGCCACAAAACACAAAATAATACCCTTATAATAGGTGTGAGTTGTCCGCCATGTTTTTTTGTTGTATGTTGCGATAATATGTTACAAGTTTGTCGAACGCGCAAAGTCAAAGCTCACCGAGGGCAGATTGCGAACGTGCCGTACCAATATCCACATCGCTTCGATAAGTTGAGAGTTAATCTCCGCTCGCAGCTTATGCTGTCACATAATTTTCAGCTGCATGCCGGAAGACGTGTTTATTTTGCTTTTGCTGCAGACATAAACTCACAGTTGCTATTAGCGCCGACGTATCCGAGCCTTGGATATTTGTATCACTATACCTAAACGCATTCATTGCCCTCTTGTTTGATTTCTCCTACATTTACTCCGCCCAGATATCAAATATCCGTGTTACGTGGCAAAATAAACAACATAGTAACAGCTGCATTATGCGCGAAATTATCTACCGTTATTGTGCTCGTTAAGATAAAAGCTGTTATTAATATGTGCTTATTTAATATGTTGTGTTGATTTCGCAGACTCTCGAGAGTATTCTCCGCTCGTTCCGGGTTTCACCAAGGTTTGTATTAAATTTGAGCTTTTATTAAATAAAATAATTTTTTGGTACACACAGTTGACGAGTTGATAACTAAAACAAGTTAAAAATTGATTTTTAATGAAAATTTTAAAAAATATTGAGTTTTTAATGGAAGTTTGCGTCTGGGGGTTAGGCTACCAAGATTGGCGCACAGCCCCGCGTATAAATACACGCCATGCTCGCGCTGGAGGCGGGGTGACGCGCGCCATGTTCGCAAACTCTACCATATTGTGATCAGTAATCACGGAAAGCTTTAAACGTGCAAACTACTTGAAACTTCAATGTGTAAAACTTGTAAATTGATTAATTTCGCTTGTATTTTGATAAAAACATGACGAAAACTTTGCGCATACAAAAAGATACGATTTACGGATTGTGCTCGAGCATCAACGGTGTATCTCTTGTATCTCTACCTGCGGGCGTTGGAATTTTACGAGCGCGCAGTCCTCGTGACCAATTTTAACGGCATAACAAGCGCAATTTCATTGTTGAATTGTAATAGAAGGCCCCTTTGCAGTAACAAGTCCCAAAGTCTCGCGTATTACTTTACCACATACATTCGTTGCAGAGAAATTAATGAATATTAAGCAAGGGGTTTGAAATGGACTCAAAGTTGAGGTTTTGCAATAAAATTTTGAACAAAATTAATAAAAATTTTAAAATAAAATTTAAAAATAATTAATAAGTAGACAAAACAATTTTCTTGGTTTAAAATTTTTTAACTGGTATAAATCTTGATTGAAATGCGCTTAGAATAGAATAAATGTGTGTGTTGCATGCGAACAAAAGCTCGCGTTGTTGGTGCTTGCAACGCGTGCCTGACATGAACCCGCCTCGGGACGTGTGTCTGTGATCGCGCAACGGCGCGCAGGATGCGTGCGAGCGCTGGCGAGCTTAGGAGCTTTCCCTCGCGTCGCGCTGCTCGCGTGTAGCTTGTCGGGAGTCCTGCGAGCGGCCGGTAGAAAGCGCGCGCGTCGCCGATGCCAGCCGACCGCTTGCCGCCGGAGACGCGGCCGTCGAGCAACGAGGAATAAGCGCGAGACGTCGAGCGTTCAGTGTGCGCCTGCAACCTGTCCGTCGCTGTCAGTCGCCACGATCCGAGTCCACACATGACATCGCGAACTTGACGCAACTCTCCGCGTAAAAGCACATCACACGCTCGCTGCGACACATCGGCACTTCGCGAGTTTATACACACAACAACTGCAACGAGAAAAAGTTGTTGGAAAGTTTAAAAGCACAAAAAGGTTTTACGTGAAAAAAAAAAGTTTGGAAAGTTTTGGATACCCGGCTTACGTCCTATTGTCATATTTACTACGACAGAAAAAAAATCAGCAATCTACAAGAAAAGGACAAAAAAAACCTATCATAAACTAGAAGATTTGTGAAGTGCGGTGGGCCACAACCATTGTGCCTGTTAGAAAAGGGCACAAATTATTGAAATACGACCTCATAACAGAGAGTGAAATTGCTGCCTGCCTGCCAGCTTGGTGGGACGAGGTGTTCAGCTAACGAAGGCATCAAGGTCTTCTCAATCAGCTGGTCTAGCTTTTCGGGGACTTGAAATAGTGCACCATTTAGTGACACCTCGTTCAGCAAATCCAATTGGATCAATTCATCAATTTGACTCTGCGTGGACGATGCATTCGAGTGGCTTCAATGAAAATACAACGTGCCCACAATAAAAATAAAATATTATAATAGTCGCAAACAAATCAAAAGTTACGACCGTCAATAAATTAATTTACAGTCCATAAAACGGGTGTAATAGCTGCTCTCGTGCCGGTGTGCATGTGTGTGTGGATCACCTTATGATTTATACCCGGGCGCTAATAACGCACTAATATATTTATAGTGTTTAAGCAAATAGCACACAGTGTTGCGTTGAAAGTAAAAGTAAAACAAGCACAACTCGTCAACTTGTATCTACCGAATATTTGACTGACTCTCAAAGTGGTGTGTGAAATTGTAACTCATTTGAGTACTGTTATTGTTTTCATAAACTCCATCGTCTTGATTCCTGCGTGCGCGTCTTGTGTGCTAACATCATCCCTGCGTGACGTCTGCCGCCTGACTGATACGCGCCAACACACCGGGCTTCGCTCGCGCGCTCCGCTCCCCTCCGATGCTGTGATCCCCTTGCGGCAACAATCATCCTCACCATCGCGGACCCCGTGGCGTGCGCGGCGCCCACCCTGTACGACCATGTGCATCCCCCCGGATCCTCCCCAGCCACCGGAGCGGGGACTTCCACCGGGGTGACGTGGTGGTCGATGATGAACGGCGGCCTGTACGAGGAAAGCCCCCCGCCCGCCCCGCAGAGTGCAGCAACGCCGATCAGCAACAGCGGCATGACCAGCCCGGCGACGGTGCCGCCGCCCACGGCGACCACCTCGGCCACGTCCAGTTCATCACCGGCGAGCGTGACGAGCAACAGTGGATCAGCGGGGCCACTGCATATTCCCGCAAAGCGGCTGGGTTCAGCAGGCGGGTATGGGGAGTGTGCAGAGCCAAGTGTCATCCGGCACTCGCATCATGGTCAACCGTGGAATTACTCTCCCTCGGATAACCACCATGCGGGCGCCACCGCCTTCGAATCCACTGTGGGTCTCAACCACCATCAGTACGCCAATGCGCCTACCTATTACAACCTGGCGGCTGACCCTACGGGCGGGCGGGATTCACGCAAAGGGGCATTATCCTTCTGGTCACCTGCTGCCACTGCCGCTGCTGGTGGCACTCCTGAGTATAAATACTCGGCAGTGTCGGCAGCGGGGCCCAGCGCTGACCCAACAGTCTCATCGTGCCATCAGAGCTTCTCGTCGTCGTCCTGGTGCAACTACTCGCCGTACTCGTCGGCGGCATCACGACACCATGTCGACGCGCATCAACCCGTCCCCTATTTGACGCCCGCCGATGAACGCAACCGCGTGGTGGCGGCGGCGGCGATGGCCGCCGAGTCGGCCGGCTTTGCGCACGCACACGACGGCGGCTACGGCCTGCGGAACTACGCTTCCGAACCTCTGCCGTCTACACCTTACCCACCGCCAGGTAATAAAAATACTCTCACACATTATACACACACAAACACACGCCGCAATCGAAACCAATAAAACGCAAAGCATGAATGAACCAGCTACTTCCCACAACGCACACTAGATGGCATAAGGTTTTAGTTTTTGTGAGCTAAATAGTGTGAGCACATCGCTCTGTTACAACACACGTAAACGTGATGAGCTCGCATAACCGACCGAGTGAGACACGCACCGAAACGGCACGTTCCACATGCTGCATGCTGACTCGAGCCTTGCCCCACACTGTTTCCTCAACCGTCTCAACAATCAGCGCGACAGAGAGAGACAGAAGCAGCCCATTAGATTAGACCTGGCTGTGTGGCTCCAAGGAAAAGTTCCCCTCGTTGAGCGAATGTGTTTCCTCGTGCACACGCTGCGTCACCCTCGAAAACTATTCCTCGCTGAAAATTCATTGTAAACTTACGCAATAACAACCGAAAAAAATAAAACAAAAAACAACAACGCGAGAAGTAGTGTGTCGTAACGTTAACAAGTTGGCCTTGGGAGCTCGGTGATTTAATCGAAATATATGCTGCTGCCGCGCTTATTTCAAAAGCATTCCGAAAATAGCAACCAGGAAAAACGGACTAATTAAGCTCGCGCGCGCGAAAATATTTACCATACACGAAAAAATTACTACAATAACACACCGCGCAAACATTTAAGAGTCAATAAAATTAACCGTTTCGTTTCATATACCTAATATATTCGTTCATATGTAGGTACCTATATATTTACAAAAGCATTTTATAGACGTGCAATAATAATTAATAGCTTCATTCACGATTTTAAACGACTTCATTGCCTAGGTCAGTTTTATTACATAGTAAAATAATGTAGTAATGGCATAAAACTGTCGTTTTGTTTTGGTAAATGTGTGTACTCTCCAGTGATGAATTATTTTCTAGTAAAAACATCAATTATTAAATCAGGTCAAAATTTTAAGAAGAAAAAATTCAAGTTTATCAACGGGACCAAAAATTTCTGTTCCGTATACTTGTGTCATGCTTATATTAGAAAGAGATGGAACACTTTGGGTCTGTGTAGGGTTCGAAGAATAACGACCGCACATTATATCCGACTCGACTCGATGTCGAGGGTGACGTCATCCACCAGGCTGGAAAACAGCTGATTGTAGAAAGTCACGGAATGCTCCCTTACACATTTTACACACATACAAATATACGTTGTGTGTTATGTTAATATTATGTGGATTTTGTTCTGTTTTGTCCGACAGGTTCACTAAGTTCAATGGGAGTGAGTGTCCCCTGCGCCGGCGCCAACCCACTGGAATGGACCGGTCAGGTGACGGTGCGGAAGAAGCGCAAACCATATTCGAAGTTTCAGACGCTCGAACTAGAGAAAGAGTTCCTCTTCAACGCGTACGTCAGCAAACAGAAGCGCTGGGAGCTCGCGCGCAACCTCAACCTCACCGAGCGACAGGTGAAGATCTGGTTCCAGAATCGGCGGATGAAGAACAAGAAGACGCAGCAGCGGCAGACCAACCAGCCGCAGAACAATAACAACGCCAACACGAACAACCAGAACCATCACGGGCATCATCCGTCGGCGCATCACCACGTGCACTCGCAGCACCACGTTGTTAATCATCACGTGGCGGCGAACGGAGCGCTCAAGCATCATCAGTGACCGACGGGGTTCTCCGGGGTCGTGTTGGGTCACCACGGGCTGGCCGCCTAATTGGGACGAACTCTCTTTTGCTGCCGATTTACCGTGGGAGGGGGATAAGGGGACTGTTTTAGTTTTTGATAATGATGCATACTTATTGAATTGAACTCTTTGTTTCCTGTTTTCTTGTTTTTTTTTCATCATTGTGTGTTGTAAACTGTGCAAACGAACACGGACGTAACGCGTGGACTTGCGTGGTGGGAGAGGCTCCTCGACGACACCTCCGACGACGACTGAGGACCTCAAAGTTTGTAATATTTAATTAGATAAGTATAAGTTCTTTGCTGTGCCAAAGATGTGAAGAGGGAATTTATGCGTATAGAACTCAAATGAAATGAAATCAATGATGATGAGAATTCGCACACATGGTTGATATTTAGTACGTTTAGGGCTTGTGCAACATTACTTTTGTTTTGATCGGATGCATTGTTTTATGATTAATTGTTTTGTAATTTTGTAATTTTGAGCGCTGAAATCGGATGCAAAGCATTCCGCGATTGAGAGCTAGGAGACGCCGAGAGACTTCAGGAGAACGAGTCACTTTAAATAAAGTAATACATTATAATTAACTACCTAAATGATAAATAATTATGAACGACAAAAAGTATATAAATATAAATATATATTAATTAATTAAAAGAAAAAAACGAAGCAGCAGTAGACGAAAAGCGACTTTGAATAATTAATTATTTGCAAGGTACACACACACACAAAACACAAATATTCAAAACACACACACAAACATACAAAAAACACACAAATATTAATTACAATTAATATACTCTGTACATATTCGACTGTCAATGTCTTTTTAGTAGGTTATAACATTATGATGTAAGTCGTTATTATATGGTATTTTACTATGTATTCAATGTTGCCGTAGTCTGAATGTGTATAGTAAATTATTGCAAAGAAGAAATAAGTACATATATATGTAAGGTTATTCAAACACACACAACAATATAAACTATGCGATAAGTAAGTACGACGTGTCGGGATTTCAGAGCCACATCAAACGCGCGCGCGTTTATCACAAGCCGAAAGGCCAGTAAACATCGGATAAACACTCTGAGCATCATTCGTTCGACATCTACAGTGCGCTTTCGAACCTCCCGTATCCAAAAAAACAGCGAATTTTGTAAATATCGGCGCTTCTTGTATACGTTATGAGTCCACACACATTGCAGTAATATTACGTTGTATGTAATGACCTTTAGATGCCCCTGTAAGAGGTATTAAATATGTAAGCAAGCAAGAGACGAGCTCGTCAGGACCTCATCTAGAAACCGAATTTATTAACAAAAGTGTGTGATGTCTCTGCCGCCTGCCGTCTATTATCATTCGGAGCGGAAATAAATTGGTGCAATTTGTCATTCCTGGCGGAGGACGAACGCACGCATAAGTAAGGATTACCTTATTCTAATGATAATGAGTAAATTAAACACTAATACTAAATAACATGTTGTACATAATCGGATATATGATAATTATAATGATTATTATTTCTCTTCTCTCATCCTTCTCACAGTCCTCTTGATTTCGCATTGATTGATTGATCCTCTCTCGGGTGACAAACAACGTACTAGAATGACTTTTAAATGATGGCCGATTCGTTGGATTCTTAGCACTTATACATAATAATATAAACTGAATATTTATTGATCTCTTAATTAATTAATTATCTAAATGAATAAACTATTGTAATTATTGCATAATACTTGAATATAAAATAAATGACAAGCATTGTAAAATTATTGCAAACCGATGGAAATTCGTCAAGATGTAACAACGAAGAATAAAACACGTGGGTATGACTGTATGAATGTGTAAGTCGTGTTTGTGTGTGTATGCGAAGAGTTAATACGTTTAGAAATTAATTATGAATTAATTCTTTGTACCTAAATACGTTAAGCGATTTAATTTTTATTGTCGATTTGAAAGTACCTATTATATTTTTATGATTGATTATTTTTTAACTTGTTGTGTTCAAAATGCATTGTTGTGTTTATGTATAAATGTAATACACATGAGAAAAATGAATGAAAACTTATTATAAACGATTACGATCTGAGTAAGTAGAGTGCCGGAATTAAGACACTGCAAGACAATGATGAACAAAAAATGCTTTTAGAAGTAATGCCCATGATTTCCTTAATTTTACAAAAAATTGTTAAATTTTTATTTTTATGTGTTTCTAGCGGAAGATTGTCGAGAAATATGCAACAAAAGGTAAATGAAGATAATATTTAATATATTTGGTGTTATAATGAAGCATGAGAGTTGCTTTTGTATGCTGTGGTTGTAAAATACTACTGCTGGCATAGATTAAGCGAATTTACTACTACCTGCTTACTATTTGAGTAGGTAGAGTAGGTAAGATCGGAAATGAGCTAGGAGTGGGAGACCACGTGCTCCGACCACAAACGATTGGCACCGATTTAAAAATTTACAATTTTTTAGCGTTTTAATGATATTTATAAGGTTTTAGAAGCCGTTAAAAATTTTTAAACGCTAAAATAAACTTTTTTTTTACTCCGTTCTGAAAACAGCGTAAAAATTTGACAAAAATTTCGCGCGTGTTAAAAACAAGCTAAAATTACATTGAAAATGCAGTTAATATGCCTTACAAAATAAATAAACAATCACAAAATAAATAAACCTGCTGATTAAGCAACTTAAAAAAAGTTATCAAGTAAAAACTCTCACCGTAACTGCTTCTGATTCCGTCTATAACTATATAGAGCTTTTTTGCAGTTGGGTTCTTTCTCTGCCTGACTTGTGTGTGTACTGCATTCGTGTTCGTTCGCATTCGACTCGTTCGGCAATTCAGTTCGTTCGGTTGCCGAACGAACGAGCGGGTAAAATTGATCAGGAGAACAGCAGAGCGCGTCGGTGCGCTCCGACAAATCGTTACACTGCGTTGTAACGGGCGTCAAACCGGTTTGCCTGACTCCTCCCATCGATAGAAAAAGAGACAGTATCATTTCTCTCTCAGTTTGGTGAGCGCTGCTCAAATATCCCTGCTGCTTTTTCACTCTCGCTTGTTTCTTTATCGTAATACTGTTTCATAGCGCAGAATTTTAAAGGAAGGGGAACAGAAAACGAGCTTGCGTAGAGTTGCTACAACGCGGAGGATCTTGTTTTACTTGCAGGAACTTCTGCAGTGTTTTTTGCAAGTTGAAAGTATCAGATACCTATTTATTTTTGTAGGTATAGAAAAATTTATTTAAAAAATTGTTTAATTTAGTAATAGTATGAGTAAGATGAAAGTAAAAACTTTGGATTTTATGCAGGACGTGATTTATGTTGGTGTTGCATAATTGTCATGATACAAAATGTCATAAATTATTATTTCACGCGTAGATGTAAAAAAATGACTCAAAATTACCTCAATACAAATTGAGTGACTTATAATTGCACTTAAGATACAAATTCTTTGTTTTGATAGAAAATACCATAAATATTTTGCGCCCACATAGCAACTTGAAACCCTTATACACTTAAATGCAGAAGTTATTTTATTATCTTTAGAATACCACAAAATACAAAGTTGCATGATTGCAAGTTGTTGTTTTTCCAAATGAATCCCATTGCTGTAGATTAGTGAAACTGGTTATTCGGATGTGTTGTGATCTTTTGTGTGGATATTTCTCATTTCTAGCAGCCACATCTTCTCCGCACAGATTTGTTGTTCGTTTTTGTGCGGCTCGTCCGCTGCTGCTAAGCAGTCTGGAAGGCGCATTAAGGAAATGAGAGAATCAAACCGAGTGGAAACGTCCGTCGTGATTCCTCCGTCGCTGTTGTCTTTAATCCGAAAAACAAAATGTACGAAAGTGCACCAGCCCGAGAAGCAAACAAATTAAGTAAAAGCTCCGGCGTCACGAGCCATTTGCCGCCGCGCAAGTTTTTCCCTCTTTTCAGAAACCCTCCACTGAAAATGTTTCATATTTCATGGTCGTTGATTCTAAAATATTGGATATGAATAAGTTATGAGCGGATCAGACTACAACAGCCATTTTTGTCCCGTTGGATTTATTATTTTATTCGTCGTCCGTGGAATTGACTTAAGTAGCTTACAAATATTTGTAGATTTTAGTTTGTTTAAGTTTGGCATTGCATCAAGAAGAGAATTCATGAACACACCAATGGCACAGACCCAAATTGCTTATATACGGTGTTTGCACATTAATTCATGTCTCCAAGACAGGTTGAACAAACAGACGGGCAATATAAGTATGTGAAGCACGCAAGATGTTGGGTGTTTGTTGGGCGTGCAGCGTGTAGGATCATATTTTGTCTTAACAAGCGTCTGCTTTGCGTCAACAATACTGTCTGTTACACTTTTTGTGAGGCCTTAAAATTGATATCATCTTAAATGTGTGCTCGTATCTCATCTGAAATGTGTTCTGGTTGAAGCTTTTATGCTTCATCAAGTGCTTCAATTGCACCATTGGCCACACCAGAATTAAAGTTACACAGTTTTGGTCACAAGTCACAACTGCTTACGGAATGAAAGTAAGAGTTGTTTTTGTGTATTATTCAACTGATATTCTCTTTCTTTATTTTTTGTTTAAGTTACAGACACATTAACATTCAGCTTGGCTTGGACGTTAAATTAACACAAATTAATATTTCCTGTTTTGTTATTTGTTGTCTGTGGAAGAGACTTTTATAGGACTCATTGTTTTACACAAAATTTATATCCAGTTGGAGAATATTTTGTTGTTCTGAATATAAATGCCTCTAAAGGGTTGTTTAAATAAGAAATAAATTTATTGTAGTGAAATAAATGTTCTTACTCCAGAGATAAATGTTTTACAAGAAGACACAAAATGTTTTACTTGAATTAATTGTAGGTTAGGACCAAAAATCTGTTTCAAGTTGAAGGTACATAATGAGTCGGCTTGCCGCAAGTTTTCCCCTCTGGATGTCTTCTCTCAGAGGTATAATTAGTGTCTCTAAGTAGAGTTATTTAGACACTGCAAAAAGTGCAGAAATGCAGTAGGTACGTGCATTGCATGCGTTGTTCCGAACAGTTCTACTAGCTGTGGAGCAGGTCTCCATCGAAAAATAAGGGTGTTTTCCTTTTCCCACCGCCCGACGTGTTTCGTTTTCGCCTTATTTGACGAATATGCTCGCCGTTCCAAGCTGCTGGCTCTGACGCGCCAAAGAAGGGGTGGGTTCTCACGAAGGAGAGCGCGCCTGGAAGAACCGACGGGGGATGTTTACGATTTATGAGCCGCGCTCCGGATCCCGGCGTATATTAGAGCATTGCACACAGAGACGAAACGAAAAGGAAAACAGAAACGCATTAAACGAAAACAGAAAAGAGTGGAAGCGCACGGCGGTACGGCACGGCCGCGCGGAGACGCGGAGGGGTCCCCTATGTAGGCATGTGCGTCGGACGAAGAGCGTCTCTCGGCGAGCCACCGCCGCCGCCATTCATCCGGATATTAGAAGAGCGCGTCGCGCGTATCCGCCGTCGTCGGCGAGAAGCGAGCCGCGCGCCGGTTAGGGGGGTTCGCAAAGTGTCCTAAAAGTTTTACAATCGCCAGCTCTCTCGCTGTGCGGTATATACGACATGCTTGATGGCCTATCTTCCAATGTGAGTAGCGGCCATAACACTAAGATGTATACGACTGCGCTGGGGCCCCTCCTATATGCTATATGCAATCCGCATGCCATATACCTATAGGTATGAGGCCGAGGCCGAGCGTGCAGGGTGCCGGTGCTGTGACAGTCATTAGTCGTGTTCGACAGCCGCGGGCGACCATCGACTCGCGATAGGTGAGAGCGCCGAAGCGGTGCATCGCGTACCGATATATAGCACACACAGAATTTCGGCGCCGCCGCCACCGCCACCACCGTCAACGCTAATTGCACGCGTCGCGTTCGCCGATTAGCATCGTGCCGGCACCGACCAGACGCCATGTGTGTTTCCAACCGACAACCGCTGCCAACAAACCAACACGTTGGTAAGTACCATTCTAATCTATAAATAAACAACCGAAAGCCATTAGTTGACACACACGCACACTCAACGAGATAATCCCTACCTAAACTAGTCACCATCCAACTAGTCGAAACTAAATTCAATGTGAAGCTGTGTAAAATAGACGCCGATAAAAGTGAAATCAAGAACCAAAACCAACAGCGTTTTGTTGAAGCGTTTAGCAGGTTTTTAGCTCATTAATTGCTCGCATGTGGACTGCCGGCATGAATTATAAATTTAGAGCCAGAGTGCTGTCAGCCATGGTCGCCACGGTCTCCCAGTTAATTAACGCTGTGCGACGAGTTAATTGGCGACCCGTGCGTGCCTTCCACTCTGCATGTTTTAACCCTTTTCCACGCTCACATCGCATGCTTACACACAAGAATCTGCTTTGATTTTGGTATCTGCGTCCATTGTAAATTAATTAAACTGTTGCATCCGGATGTGGACTACTTTACAAACTCCAACCCTGTTTCTATGTGTATAAATGTGTTAACGAACATAAGGCCTTCGCAGATTGTTGCGGAAGGGAAACGCGAAGCGGGCTAGAAAGATAACGAGATCCCCGGTCGGGAATCCGGAAAACTTTGTCATTCTATAGGACTTCACAGACGCGTATTGTTCGGGCACCGCGCCCTTATCGTAAAATACAACTACAAACTTTCTTACTTGAATAACATTCACGAAAAACTTAATCAAATCAAAAATTGTTTAATTTTTTATTTGTTTTTGATTGAAATTTAATTGT